TTTGGATAAAATATAATTTTCTAAATTTGACAGATACTAATATTAGTAGAGATAAAGAGGACAGGAAGCATACACCATATAATTAAAATTTTTATGCAATTTTATTTCCTTTCATTTTATTTACTTGATTTCTTGTGTTTTTATACTTTTTTTTTATAATATTTTTTTTATTTCCTGCCTATTTCTCACAATTTCTTAAATTTTCTTCGTTGGATTTGCTCCGATAAATCTCCAAAAAGTATTTTGAGTTATAACAATATTCTTTCCTAAAGACTACCCAAGAGAAAGATTTTCTCCACAAACTCAATGGATTCTTTTCCACAAGCTCTATGTATTCCTACGCAAAGATTCCCCCCAAGAGAAAGATCTTATTCCACAAGCTCCAATACTATTTTGACAATTCGACATTATCTGATGCATAATGACTGTCTCACATAAAAGTTTCGAATTTTTAGGAAAACGCCGTCCTTAATTATCCATTTACAAACGGAAGTCCCCAATCTACAAACGGAAGTCCCCAATCGCCCCTCAGGTGCAAATGGAGGTATACGAAATGGTCTCTGATAATATGTCGGATGCATAATAACAGTTTCACTTAAAAACTCGAATTTTTAGAAAAAAACAGTCATTAATTATCTATCCGCAAACGGGAGTCCCCGACATACTTGATCTTGAAATATAAGTATACTAATTCAACCTATATTTCTGCTACATAGCTTTCTATTTCAATCGTTACCTTAATTTTGTTAGGTTTCACAACCAAAACTTCCTCTTCCCTGTCCATCTTTTCTTCTTTTTCCCTCGCCCATCGAATTTTCTTCTTTTTTTTTTTTTTTTCCCCAAAAATCAGTTTCGCCGCGAGCAACTCGCCATAGACGGCGAACCTTGTTACAAGCATCGCCCTCCAAGGAGACCAAATTCCTCCGAAAGGCGGCAAATCCAAAGCAAATATCAAAATCGCGGATTATCCAAAGAAGATATCAAATCCAAAGTCGATGATCAAATCGTTCACACGGAGACCGAAGCTCTTCAAAAGGCGGCAAAGGCAATCCAAAGATCAAAACCGCGGATCGCCCATAGAAGACATCAAATCCAAAACTGACGATCGAATCGCCCCACACGGAGACCAAAATCCTCCAAAAGCGGAAAAGGCAAATCAAAAATTAAAGCCGTGGATCGAAAGAAGACATCAAATCCAAAGCCGACGATCGAATCGCCCACACGGAGACCAAAGCTCTTCAAAAGGCGGCAAAGCCAAATCAAAGATCAAAGCCTCGGATTGTCTAAAGAAGACATAAATCCAAAGCCGATGATCAAATCGCTTACACGGAGACCAAAACCCTCCAAAAGGCGGCAAAGTCAGATCAAAGTCTCTCCAAAGTTTGTCAAAGTCAAATCGAAGATCAAATCTCTTCGGATCAAAAAATCCATAAAAAATAAAGTTGGAAAACAAATCGACGAATCAAATAACTCATGTAGAGAATATGACCCATTAAATTGAAATCAAATATAATTTGTACAAATTTTATGTTTATTAAAAATAACACAATTTTTTGTCTACATATATTTTACTTAAATTCTCGTATCTACTATAATATGCCATTGTTATCTAGGGCGGAGGGAGTAATTTTTTATTTTAATTAAACTATTTATCATCTTAATCTTAATCTAATAAGTATTATTTTTATTAAATTATAATTATTTTACTAATATATTTTTTAATTATTCACTAATTACTTAATACCTAAAATTTTATGCCCAATCTAAATAGGATAAATTAGACGGGACGGAGGGAATAGTATTTGGGATAACGTAGAGAAAAAAAAGTAAGAAGAACAAAGCCAATATTTCTTAATTTATATATCAATTTTTTCTCTTTTGTCATTCTAAATATAATTTATTAAATTATTTTAAAGAAAAATTAGATAAAAATGATAAAAAAAAAAAAAAAAAAACTATAGAATTATATTATCTAAACTATCACATCAAAATTAAAAATAATAAATATAATAAGAATGATGAAATATATTTTATTTTTAATAAAATCTATTAAATTATTATTTTTTATTGAAAGTATTCAATAATTATTTTTACACATACTTTATTAAGTTTCATAAATATACTTAATATTTATTAATTACTAATATAGTTAAAATTTTATTAATATTTATGTATAATAATGTAAATATTTACGTTTTGTTTTAATTTTAAATCAAAATTAAAATTATTTAATTTAATACATTTTTTTTAAATATTTTTTTTTTTTCATAAAATGTCATATTAAAAGAATGATATCATAGTGATTATTATAGTAAAAAATATCAAATTTAATAACCTAATATAAATTTTAAAAGAACCGTATTACAATGCTTATTATTCATAACTAAACTATATATTGCTTTTGTCTCATAAATATAATATTAATTGGGTTGGACACGACATTTTAAAAATATTGATATTATATTGGTAGTGAGTAAAAAGTATTGATAAAAGATTTTTTTGTATTTGTGAGTGTATTAGTGTAAAAAGTAATGACAATTGTGTAATAAAAATGAAAAAGTAGGAGTAGTTTTACGGTGATATGGAAATAAGACTATTATTTTGTGACAGACAAAAATGGTAAACAAGACTATTGTATTGGATCGGATGAAGTATATATATATATGTATATTTGTGGGAAAATTGCAATAAATATTCAATTATCACTCTTATACTTTAATTGTCGTCCCGGAAAAATATATTTCGCAAGTGTTACTTTTTTCGCAATTTTTGTCCTCTGGCCGTGCATTAAGTTCACGATGGATACAAATTCACGCGCGAGGATAAAAATCGCGAAAAGTGACACACGTGGAATATAATTTAACTGTCATATCAACAAAATATATCTTATATGTGTCATTTTTTCACAATTTTTGTCCTCTAGCCGCGTGTCAAGTTCAAAATGATGTCGGTGCGAGTGGAATTGTTGGGGTGCAAACCCAAGTCCCACATTGGAAATGGTGAAGAAAAATTACACATCTTATAAGTCTCAAGTAAACTCCACAAGTATGAGGCATTTTGGAGGATATCCAAAAACAAATCCGTGCGGGCTCAGCCCAAAGTGGACAATAATAATGAACCACATATTTTGTTATTTTAACAATTAAAGAACAAAAATAAGATAGATATCTATTGCAAATTTCTCTATTATTTTTTTTAAAACAAGCAAAAACTCATTTAACTAAAAGTGTTGAATTAATTAACTAGTGTGACATTTTTCCTCGAGCTTGGTTTGCAGAGTATTAGGTTCGACTGGGTGTTTACCCGTACGCACTTTTGGGTAGCGACTGCGGATTCCAATATCATAAAAAAAAAAAAAAAGACCATTATATCCTTAAGTTTTTTGTTATATTGTAAGCATAGACGTGGCCCTCCATTGGAATATGGACGAACTTTGTATAAAGAAGCTGAGTGGCAAAGACCATTATATCCTTCTCCAACGGTGTGTTTATTTGTGGGTTTTTAGCTTTTGGGTTTGAATTTTTAATAATTGTTTACTTTGATATAAATAGAAATTAATGTGATATTTTGAGTATAAAATAAATTTATAATATAATATATAAAAATAATAATAATTATTTGATTTGATATTTTTGAAAAAAAAAAATCTTAATAGTAACATTTTAGTAAAACCTAAAAGAAAAAAAAAAAAACAAAAAACAAAAAACAAAACACAATGTAAGAATTCGTTTGGTGCTAGGGCTTTAGAAGGCCAGAGGAATAAATGGGACGAAATTTATACTCCCTGTCTCAGATATTTTGGATTTATTATCGTAGATACGAAAATTTAGATAAAGTATAATTAGTAGGTAATTAAAAAGTGTATTACTAAAAATAATTATTATTTAATAAAAATAATTATAGATTAAGATTAAGATAAGTAAATAGTTTAATTAAAATTAAGAAAATTACAAAATTTAAAATTTAAAAAGTGTATTACTAAAAATAATTATTATTTAGTAAAAATAATTATAGATTAAGATTAAAATAAGTAAATAGTTTAATTAAAATTAAGAAAATTACAAAATTTAAAATTTAAAATGTGATTAAAGTGTATAATTATATTTAAAAAAATAGAAAAGACAAGTTACGTGGGACTGACGAAAAAAAATTATAGACAAATTATTTGGGATGAAAGGAGTATTTATTTTTGTACGTTGATTTTTTTTATATTAATTACTATATAAAATATATTACAAATTAAGAGAAAATATCAAAAATAAAAATATCAATTATTATGGAATAAATAAAAATAAAAAATGCATTAATTATGATGGAACAGAAGATGAGTATATTAGTAAAAAAAATTATAAATTAAAATAAAAAAATATAAATTATAAAAAATTTAAAATATAATTAACATATATAATTATTTTTTAAAAAAATTATTTTTACAAAATATTAAGTTCAGTATAGGTTTACCCATTATGCATTTTTTATTTTTTTATGTAAAATACTCCCTCCGTCTCATGTATTATGGGTTTATTACTGTGGATACTGGAATTTAGATAAAGTGTGATTAATAAGTAATTAAGAAGTGTATTACTAAAAATAATTATTGTATAATAAAAATAATTGTGGATTAAGATTAAAATAACTAAATAATTTAATTAAAATTAAAAAAATTATAAAATTTAAAATTTAAAATTTAAAATGAGATTAAAGTGTATAATTATATTTTAAAATAAAATGAACAAATTATATGGGAGCAACGAAAATAAAAAATAATGACAAATTATATAGGAAAGACATACTATAATAGTTTCGTGATTATAACTAGAACCTCTCTTTTTCTGCACTTTTCACATTTATGTGAAATATAAACACACCAATCGTATCCCGACGTTAAAAAATTAAAATAATAATAATAATAATAATTTATATGGAATGCAACTAATTAATAGGAGGAGGATTTAGGGTTAATTGACAATAAATAATTAACCCCGCCGCTCCCTGCAGAATTTTGTGCAATACTATATTCTATTCTATAAACCTCTCCCGCCAACCGTCGCCGCCGACGCCTCTCCTCTCCTCCCTCATGCCCACCGCCGCTCCGCCGGTCTCCCCCTCCCTCCCTTCAGAATCTGATTTTATAGTTTGTAAACCCCCAACGATTTATTAATTATCTCAAATGTGGTTTTCTCCCCCAATTCCAAACCAATTTTGGAATTGACGGACAAGTATCATGTTTTCTCCTCTTCGGGTTCTACTATTTGACGGAATCCATTGACAACCATCGCGCTGCGCTCCTCCTCTTCAGTTGTTGATAGATTCGTCATTCGATTCGATTCGATTGTTTGCTTTTGCTGGAACGGAACGGTGAGCGCAAATACGGAGTATGTTTGTTTCTGTTATTCAGAGTTAATTCAAAACTTAAAAATTGTTTGTTTGTGATTTTACACAGATTTTAGATCTTAATCATTTAATCTTAGGTCTTGGAAACATATTGCTCATTTGCATTTTCATATTTGTTGTTGTGTTATATTGGAACGATTCTCGTATTATTTTGGTTAGAATCATTTGCATTGAACACAGAGCATTGTGGAATTGAACTTGTTTGGATGGATTAATACTACTTTGAAGACAGGGAGATAATTTCAGTTCACTTGGTTTACTTGTTTGATCATAGATGATAGAACATAGGTTATTAGTACGCTTCAAATATCTCGTGTTTATAGTTATGGTGTTAATGTCTCTGTGGGGGAATTGTAGGCTTTGTCTGGGCAAGTCAACAAGGAAATAAGCCTTCGGGATTTTACTCGGTGATCGATCATTTGAATAGAAACATTCATTTTCTACAACAATGAGTAGCAGTCGAAGACCGTGGATGTACAATAGAATGAATAGGGGCATTTTGAATAGGAATTTTATCGCTGGAGTAGAAGATTTTCTCAATTATTGTGTCACGAACCCCAATGTTCAAAAGATTGATGGGATGATAAGGTGTCCCTGCAAACGTTGTGCTAACACTCGGTTTCTTCCGGTGGATGAGGTTAAGTATCATTTGTACTCAAAGGGTTTTGTATCATTGTACGAACGATGGACATGCCATGGTGAGAAACATGAATGGCGTAGTACCTTCTATCCATCGAAGGACCGGAAAATTGAAATGCAGATGTCACAAAATCGGTCATCCAAAGCAACGAAGCAACAGATATTAGACGCAGTGAAGAGGGTAAAGGAGAAGCGGCAGGCGCAGCAGTGTGAAGTCGCTCCAACTGATGGTTTAGGTTAGTCGATGATAGTTTGACTCTATTTTTGAATTATATACAACGTCGTCTACTTTATTTTTGTAAATATGAACCGTTTGTCTTATTTTAATTCGAAACCACATTGTAGGATCAGCCCTTGTTGCAACATCCACCGTGGATACCCGTATTAAGATCACTGTGCAACAAGATGGGAGGTATGTTCGACCAGTTCATATCGATTTTTAGTTTTATTTTTTCGTAACATCCGATCATTGCAGCGTTTGCTGGCCTCAAGAGACCTTGAACGTGCTCCGGGACATCTTTCGCTCGTGTCTCACCCCCGAGGGGAGCATGTGGATGAAGGTACCAATGGAGACCAAATTGTGGTACGCCGAGGAGATGAAAGTAAGATACTTTATTCTTAAATATTACTCCCTTCGTCTTCACATAATTTGTTTCTATTTTCTATTTTCATTTGTTCCACGTAATTTGACATTTTTTTTTGAAAATATATTTATACACTTTTAATCATATTTTAAATTTCATAATTTATAATTTTTAAATTTTAATTAAACTATTAGTTTTCTTAATATTAATCTATAGTTATTTTTGTTATACAATAATTATTTTTATTAATATATTTCCTCGAAAGTCTTGTTTTTACAGTAACTGAGGCAAAATATATATTAGTATTACGTATATACTACTCCCTCCGTCCCATATTTATCTATCAATTTGCTTTTTGCTCGGAGTTTTAAAAATATTAGTATATATTGGGATGTATAACATTTGTGTAATATATTGTAAATTGAAAAAATATTTGTAATGTTAGGTAGATAGTACAATTATTAAAAAAAGAAATGAATACTTTGTTATAGGATGGACCAAAATAAAAAAATAGATAGATTGTTAAGGGACGGAGGCAGTATAATTTAGATATAACTAATTTAATTGTAGTATGCAATATCATTGCAGAAGTATTTTACTTGGGACTCCGACGACGAAGGAAAAGTCATGCTTGAATATATAAAAACCGCTCAGGACGTATACAACAAATGGTTATACGAAATCCGCAAGGAGCACAACAAGGAGGTTGCCAAACTTATCGACCCGGAGATCCTGACAAAGTGGAGGAGGGTTTGGGACTCCGAAGATGCGAAGAAAAACCGACGACGGGGTGATCTGGATGCAACACATACTGGAGGGCACCGATCATTTTGTGAGACGGCCAAGAAAATGGTACGTAATACTTTATGTTAAACCAAATATTTCATTTTCGATTATATATTCACTCTCATTGTAAATGTAGAGATTGGATGAGGATGGGACCTATGCATGCCCAAAGACATCGGAGATTGCCGTAAGTCATCATTTAATTGAGTACAACAAAACTTATCTTTAATTCACGGGTCGATTAGATTTGATGTTGACAATTTCAGCAAGATCCGAATTCGATCGGAGAAGATGTGATGCAGCAGGGCATCACTGAGTACGACAGAGACGCGATCTTTGGGTTAAGGGCTTTGGCAGCTACGGTGCCCATTGGTCGCTCGTCCTTTAGCAGTGATGGTCGTATTTTGGAGTCTGCTGATGTCGAGCAGCGTTTCCAGAAAATGGAGACTCGGTTTGAGGATCGTATACAACAGGTAGATGATCGGGTGACGAGAATCGAGCAGTACCTAGAGACTATCACCAACCAGAATCGATCGATCATAGAAGAGCTTCGCAGACGCTGAGCACGTATAAACCGTCGTGGCCCCGACAACGATGCAAGGTGTGCTTCCGTTACTTGTTTTGGGTTATGTATTGAGATATCATCGATTTAATATTGTTTTATGATATGATTTTGATTGATGGTTTGATATTGAATGGTTATAGATTTTAGCATCTGAGTTGAATCAAAGGGAAATTTTGAAAAATAGTTTTGGGAGGTTTGGCTATGGGTACAAATTGGCGAGGGAGGAATTGAAAAGTTTGTTTGCCTAATACTCCCTCCGTCCCACATTAATGTATAATTAGTAGATAATTAAGTATATATTAGTAAAAATAATTATTTTTATAAATTAAAATTAAAATAACTCATTAATTTAATTAAAATTAAAAAAATATTAAACTAAGAATTAAGGTGTGTAATCATTTTTCAGAAAAGAAAATTACATGAGATGTGGGATGGAGGAAATATTTTTTTTGATAATATGACTTTGGATAATTATTATTATTATTATTATTGTCTATTTGTTAATTTTTGTTTAATTCATTGATTTGTGGTTTATTATTTTGATTGTTATTGTCTATATTAGGTCTTTGGTTAATTGTGTTCTTTTTTGAAAAACTATACTCGTATTCTTCTATGGGTTTTACTATAATTTTTTATTATTTAAATTTATTTTTTTAAAAATATCACATTAAAGAATTATTTTTTTTATATTATACTACAAATTTATTTTACATTTAAAATATCATATCAAATAACTATTCAAATTCAATTTTTTACTATTCAAAAAATCCAAATTCAAAATTTCAAATCCACAAACAAACACACATATTTCTTCAAAAGTACATTTTTCCAAAAAAATTATAACATTTATTATTATTCATTATTTTTATATTAGTTATATAATTTTTTATGTTTCATGTAAAATAATATCTTTTTAAATTATTTCACTAAACAACTAAACTCAATTCGTAGGTTGACTTTTTACAATAATTTTACTATTTATTTAAAATACCAAAATTTATAAATATTATTTTATATCATTTTAAAATTATTTTTTATTCAAAATATTATCACATCTATTTATATTATATCAAATAATTATTCAAATTTAAAATGATATTATTCAAAAATCTAAATCCACAAACAAACACACCCTATATCTTATTTTATACCATATCTTTCCTATTTTCATGTATTCTATGCGTTCTCATGTTTCTTGTGGTATTCATGCATCTATGTCAACTTCATTTATTTTTATTTTTCCAAATATATAGAAAATGCTGAACACGTAGTAGGCATTATATATATATATATATATATATTATATACGTAGCGTATGGATTCATGTTTTCCATGAAGGTGAAGTATGGTGGATTTCATTAACATTTATCCAAAAAAAATAGTTGAATGGGTCAGTTTAGAAATAGGTTTTTAAAATTTTTTAGAGTTTTGAAAATTTCAAAATAAAAGGTCAAATGTTAATATTGATTTGATATGTTGCGATAGAACAAATGTAGTTGATGTTGTATACTCCCTCGTCCAATAATTATTGTATTTCTTTTTAGTTTTATACACAAAATTTACTCTTTTACCTTTATTTTATTTACTCTTTTATTTTCTATACAAGATTAAGAACAAATTTGTCATTTTATAACAAAAACCCTAATCGCTTAAAAATACGTGTAAATATCAAATAGAATATTAGAAAATGGACAGAGGGAGTTTTTTTTTTTTTTTTTCAAAAATAAATAGTACTAAATAAATTAAAGTTAGTTATGTAAAGGGAGTTTATCTCTCTCGCGGTCTTCTTGTATTCATAATACTTACATACATTTCTGTCCCAATTAAAAATATTTCTTTTATCATTTTTATTTGTTTATTGAAAAATATATTGTTTTTTTATTATAGTAAAGATAATTACTTATTAATATCAAAATACTTTTTAATTTTTACATAAATTATAGAAATATTATTCTATGTACATAAATTTCAAATAATTAAAATGTCAAAATCATTCTACACACTTCTAATAAAAAATAAATAATATTATTTATTAATTTATTACTGAAACTTAAAAGAGTATATTCGTTTTAAAAAGAGAAAAAAATATAGTGAATCAACTAATCAAATAACTAAAACTATTACATAAACTAAAAACTTTGGCTTTTGTTCTTTTATTCAAAAAAATTTCGCACATTTTTTTTAAAAAAATTAATATAATATACATATTTATTATTTTCATATTAGCTAGACAATTCATTATATCTTATATATAAAAAAATATAGTCTTTCAAATCAAAACGCAAAAAAATACACTTTAATAAACCAGCTAATTTACAAACATACTCTTATACTGTAATTTTAATACTACTACAATCCATTTACAAATTATGCATATTTCTATTTTATATTGTCCAATTACAGAGTAAATATTTTAAAAATATTTCATTTTTTTTTTTTTTTACAAATGCAACTACTTTACCATTACGTTATTATTTTTATACCAAAAGATAAAAACAAAATTATCTTTACATTATTTTTAACTATATGTACCAAAAATAAATGTATACCAACAAATTGGATGAACGGGGTATTATTCAAATAAGAGTAGATAAACTATTGATAGGAGTATTATATATTTTAAATTTAATTTGTAAGAATAATTAAATATTATTTTAAAGTTGATTTGATTTTTAATATTTATTTTATTTTATTGATTTAAATTTTATTGGATATTAGGAAATCAAGGATGATTAGAAACACACGTAACAATGCAAAGATTTGGTAATCTAATTCAGTAGGGAAGAATGCATCAACTATATATAGAAATGTAAGCCAAACACTAGCTTGACTGGCGACATGATTGCTAGATGTACAATACCTCATTGGCTTCAACTTGGATTTCACAGTACATCAATTTCTCACTAGAATTTCAAGTACTCTCTACTTTGCATTTTATTTTAATTAGTCACTGCAAAGCTGACAAGTCTAATTCTTCACTCGTCGATACTAGTTGAGATTGAACACAACCTAAATTTATCTAAGGTAACATCTTAGTGAGCATATTCGTTTAATTTTTCAGTTCCTAAATATTCTCCAATTTCATAATCCATATCTCCAATAGCTCACGAATATGACAGAACATCAACTCAATATATGTTGTTCTTGGATGGAATGAAAGATTATTTGTAAGTGGATTGCGTTCTAACTATCGCTATTAAAGATACTAATATTTGGAGTATTTCCTGACTTTAGCATGAAGTTAAACAATCAAACCATTTCATTGCTAGCATATATTACTATAATATACTCAGTTTCTATCGTCGAAAAAGCAACCATTTTTTGCAGCTTCGAAATCCATAATATTGTTGTCCCTCTATAAGTGAAAACACATCTATATGTCATTCTCCTCTTATCATAGTCACTTCCTATCAAGTCGGTATCCACAAATCCATTTAACAAAGACTTTAGTTTCTTGAAGATTAGTACCTTATCTGCAATACTTCATAGATACCCAGTATCCACTTCACTTCTTCTCAATTTTGTCTTCCTAAATTGCTCATAGATCGACTCACTATTTCAATTATATGTTTATATCCGGCCTTGTATCCACCATGGTATAGATCAAATGTCCTATGTTGTATGCATACGAAACACTCCTAATCTTAGCACTTTCCATTCTTTGGAAAGTCTTTGTTAGGCAACCTAAAGTGACTCTCCAAATTGCGCTTCTGGGCTTTGCATCCTGTATGCTAAACCTTCTCAAGGCATTTTTACATATTTTGCCTGCAATATGCTTAACCTCCCACTATTTCGATTTCGTCCAATTTTTTTTTTCGCCATTTCAAAATCCCTTCTCGAGAATTTTGCCTCCAATTGTTGCTTCAACTTCTTAACCTCTCAAGTACAAGTTAGTTTCAATAACATATCGTCCACATATAATAAAAGTATTATATGTAAACCATAAAACTTCTTAAAGTAGTTGCATTGGTTGACATTGCATTTTCTAAAGCTAATCCATGCATAAATCCATAAAATTTTGATACCAATGTTTTGGTGCTTACTTAAGATTATATAATTTTTTAATTTTTTTTTTTTTACCTAAATATCCGTATATCCTTGTGTTTGTATCATATAAATTTTCTCATCTTAAGGGCATCAACATTGGGGGTTTCTTTGTCATCGCTATTATAAAAAATAAATTGAAAAAGATGTTGTGGAAATAAGGGTAGGAGAGCAAGCTCTGCCCAGCAACTCTGGTATTGAGTTGCTATCATTAATATATTGGGACACGTGGCAAAAAAAATTTTAATATATATTTTTTTTATATTTTATATTTTTTTCGTTCAACTAGAAGGTATACATGTTTCTATTTTGGGACGTCTAATTACAAAGTACATATTTCATTAAATATCTTTTTTTTTTTTCACAAATACTCTTACTTTACACCACATCATTACTTTTACATCAGAAAGTAAGGTCAAAAATGTCATTACACTACTTTTGACCACCCACTATAATTAAAATACTATTATTTCTTAAATATCGTGCCAAAAATAAATGTATAATTTTTTGTATGACCGGAAGGAGTATATTTTACTTAAATTATATGTAATAATATTTTTATATTATATAAAATTTTAAGTTTTATAAAATAATATCAATATTAAATATATATATTAATTAAATATAATTTATTTATTATGATAAATAAATATTGACATATTTTTATTTAATAATTTTTTTATTAAATATAATCAATTAATAATAATATTAATAATAATTTAATTTTGTAATGATTTTATAATTTATTTAATAAATTATAAAAATTAATTAAAATAAATATAATCACTAATTGTATTTTATTTTAAAAATTTTAAAATAAGAACATTATTATTATTATTATTAATAAATATGTGTTATAATTTATAAACTAATTATTAAATAAATAAATAAGTATATTAGATAAATAATAATAATAATAATAATAATAATAATAATTATTGAAACTATTGTTTAGTATTTTAAAATATTTAGTATAATATATCAAGTAAAAATATAAAATTAATATACAATATTCCGCATTAAATATAAATAAATATATAATAATCTTCTCCCTCCGTCCAATAATAATATAAATAAATAAAAAATATACTTCCTCTCTCCAATAATAATCTTTTCATTTGACTTTTGCATGTGGATTAAGGAGAATTAGTATTTTATAGATCGTAATGTTAAAAGTAATGTAATGTCTATTTTATTCTTAAAAATAATGTGAAAAATAAAAGTAAAGGTATTTTGATATTTAATTGTGAGAGTTGCTCTTTCTAAAAATGAAATAAAAAGTTCTGATTTTGATAGACTAAAATGGAACATGAGAAGTTTAACCGTGGATGGATGGAATGTTTATTTATGATTATCATAAACTAATTTTATAAAAGAGATTAAGTTAATATTTGTTTATTGAGTAAGAAAATAAAAGTAAAAGATTTTTGAGTGAATCTGGTGTACATGATGTTATATGTTATAAAAATTAATTAAATTAATTTATATTTGTTAATTATATATTAAATTAATAAAATTTATCAAATATAGAAAAACATCATTAGTTATAATAAACTAAAATATATTCTACCTCCGTTTATTTTTCTATTGTCCTAAAATATATTTGTACGATTTTTTAGATAATTGTCTTTTTTTTTTTTTTGTATGAATTGACAAATTTATTCTTTATGATAAGGTAAATATTAAAAGTAATAAATAAAGAAAAGATAAAAAAAATTATATTTAAAAAATAAAATAGAGTAATAGTTATTGAACATTTCAAATAGAAAAATAAAAAATTAATTTGTGCACGAAAGAATAAATATAATATATTATATAAATAAATAAATAATATAATATAATGGTATATTTTTATATCACCATTCTTACTATTTAATATAAAAAATATTTTTTTATATTTAATATAAATTAAAATACATTTATTCAAAAAGTACAAAGCAAATACACCCGTAAATATTAAAGTTCGTCACAGAATAATAATAATAATAATAATAATAATAATAATAATAGTTTGAATAATTGCGAAACGTGCCATCCACAATGCCATTCTATATGGTTCTCAAGTCCAGGTAACCGTTAACTTCCCTTTTCAACGTCTTACCTGGGGCATGTATGTTTGCCAATTGTACCGGTGTTTGTTTGGTGAGATTGTGGAAAAATATATTTTTTTTTATTTGAGATATAAATAATTATGTAAAAAATATAAAAATAATAAATATACAGTGTATAAAAAGCATTAATTCTTTTTTAAAAAAATATATGAAAAAAAAAACAAAAAGGAAAAAGTTATTATAAAATATTACTCCATCCGTTTCGAAACAAGGTTGTTTACTTTTTATACGTAAATTTTTGAATATTAGTGGTGAAAAAGACGAAAATATCCTTATTATTGTGTAATATAAAAGTAATGACATTTGTGTAATATAGTGTAAATTGAAAAGGTATTTATTATATTAGGTATGTAATACAATTACTAAATTAGGAAATAGTAACATTATTTTGAGACAGACGAAAATAGAAAATGACAACCTTTCAATGGGACGGAGAGAGTATATTATAATATTATTATAAAATTTTAACTTAGACATAAATCAACAAAGCATAAGCTATACATATCAATATTATGTATTTTTAAGTTTATTTTAAATTTTTTACTATGCATTATTATTATTATCATTATTTCTATAAAAATATATGATTTTATTCTATAAAACATCACATTCAAGTACCATTTAAATGAAAAAATAAAACTGTAAAAAAAAAAAAAATCCATTTTTTCAGCATTTTTACTATTTAAAGTTTTATATTTTTAATTTTATTTTAAATAAATAATATTTCTTTTGTTTATTATTTTTTATTTATCTATCATAAAAAATATGTTGATTAGCAAAAATATCATATTTTAATATTTTTTTTTTTTTATCTTTTTTCAATTATATTTCCTACTTCTCTTATTAAAAAAAAAAAAGGCAAAAATTACATATTATGTGTGTTTGTTTGGGGAATTGGATTTTAAATTCACTATTTATTCTATTTTTTTCTAAAAAAAATATCAAATCAAATATATATTTTTTATTTTTTATATTATACTAAAAGTCAATTTTACATTCAAAACATCACATCAACGTCTATTTATATCACATCATACCACTATTAAAATTCAAAATTTTTACTATTTGAATCCCAACTTAAAATCCAAACCTTCAAACAAACACACCAACTCGAGAATATCCTATATTCAAAACTTAGATATGTTTATTTAGTATTTATAATTTTAAATATTTTTATTGTGAGATATATAAAATTTTGAAATTAAATAATACTCCCTCCATCCCGTGAGGGATGAACCCTTTTATTAAGGACACAATTTTTTAGGTAGTGTAGATTAGTAAGTTATTAATAATAAGTTATGATATTAGTTTATTATTTTTTATATGAATAATATTATTGGTATTTCAAAAATTTTTAAGATTATATCTTGAAAAAAATATATACAATATGGATATCATTTTATAAATAATAAAATTTTATATAATACAAATAAATAAATAAAATATTTTTATTTATTTATCATTACCATAAATTAATTTTATAAAAAATGAGAAGTTTAAATATAGATAAAAAAAAAATTATGTTAATAGAGGAGAACGATAGAAATAGAGGGGTTTTGAGTAAGTCTCACGTGTAAGATGTTAAAAGTTTAATTAAATTGATTTATATTTGTTAAGTATGTTTAAAATTGATAAAGTTATCAAAAATGAAAAGGGGTATCTTTTGTAAAACGTACAAAAAAGGAAAAAGGATTATCTGTGGTGGGACGGAGGAAGTATTTTCTATTTTTCTACTTTTATTGTATGTATAATTATATATTATATTTATATAATATTTTTAAAAGAAGTGTTTATGTTGAAAATACTAAATTAAAAATCAAAATCAAAATCAAAATCAAATTAAATTAAATAAAAATTCACTAACTAAATATACCATAATGTATATTATGAACACATATTTTTATTCAATTCACCGTCTCTATTTTATTAATCATTTTGTCATAAATTCAAATGAATTCGTTGGATATTTCTCTATTATACTATTCCCTCCGTTCTTTTAAAAAAAAAAAAAATTAATCATTTTGTCATAAATTCAAATGAATTCGATGGATATTTCTCTATTATATTATTCCCTCCGTCCTTTTAAAAAAAAATTGTACGGAGTTATATATATATTAATAGTATTATATTGATATTTGTAGGAATGATGGTAAAATTAAAAAAATAATTTTATTAGTACTGTATGATATAAATATAACGACATTTGTGTAATATATTGTAAGTTGTAAGGACATTTTTAAGGTTAAATAAATAGTACCGTTATTAAGAATGAAAACAGATACTTTGTTATAGGATGGACCAAAATAAAAAAATGTATACTTAAGGGATGAATAAAGTATATTTTAGTGTAAATTCTCTATTTTGGGAAGTAAGAAGGGTGTGTTTGTTTTGTATTTTGGTTTGAAAAATATTTTTACGTAAAATATACTATAAAATTATACTCCATCCGTCCCATAACAAAGTATCCATTTTTCCATTTTAGTTTGTCCCATAACAAAGTATCTATTTCTTTTTTTTTCGTAACTGTACTATCTATATAACATTACAAATACCCTTACAACTTACAATATATTACACAAATGTCATTATTTATATTAACAAGGTTATTTTAGTCATTTTTATTTTATTGATACTATATTCCAATATAATACTAATATTTCTAAAACTACGTGCAAAAAACAAATGGATACTTCTTTTTGGAACGAATGGAGTATATGTAATATAAAAATAATAAGAAATTGTAGTATATTAATTTTTTTTGAAAAAATATATTAAAGAAAGAGCGAAATCGAATTCTCTGGAATGAAAAACAAATAAATTAATTTTCATTTTCTTTTGAATTCTATTTATTTAAATTTTATTCTCTTTTATCATTTTTATATAATTTTATTTTCCTTGAAACCGCACCTTTAATAATTTTGTAAATTTGATATATATTAATAAAATATATATATATATATATCTATTATTTTTATACTTTTATTTTCAATAAAATGCCACATTTGAATTTTCGTGAACTTCAATATAAATTTTAATGAAATATGTTAATATAAAAATCATCTGAATAAACTCCAGTACTATTTCCGTCTGATTATAAGAATTTCATTTATTTTTTTCATGTTGATTATTTAATATTAATTATTATATAAAAATATATTATAAATTAAAAGAATATGACAAAAATAATTTTATCAGTATTTTATAATACTACTCCTTCGATCCCACGTACCATGTCCATGTTACCGTTTCTGTTCGTCCCATATTCCATGTCACTTTTGAAAAATAATTACACACTTTAATCTCATTTTAAACTTTTTAATTTATTTTTTAAATTTTAATTAAACTTATTTTAATTTTAATTTATAATTATTTATATTATAGAGACACACTTCTAAAATACTATAAGACAGATAAAGTATTATAATAATTCTATATAAAAAATTATATAAATATAATAATATTTTTAATATTAATTATACGAAAAATTAAATAAACCCTTAAAGTTGATTGGAATAGAAGGATGCCTTAGTGTTTTTTTTTCCTTAGTTATTATCAGAGGAAATGAAATTAAACCAATTTGATAGTTTAAAATTTCGGAATATTATTAGGGGCAAATTTGTAATCTAACATCGAGACAGATTAACAGCGAACAATTCTAGATGAACGGCTGAGATAACTCTCTCTGAAATATCGACGGCTGTAAAAAATCAGTGCACCCAAAAGTCGTGTTCCTCGCCACACATTAATATTTCCCTTTCTTGTTATTTTGATTTCTTCAAATTTTAAATTATAACTATTCTGAGATTAGAGAAAACTTTAAACGACGCCTTGCGAAATTTTGGTCTCTCTCGCTCGCGATAACGGTTCGCCGTCGCTCACGGCGGCGCCTCCGGTTGTTGGTGGCGGGATAGGTGAATTGAAGAATAACAACATTCGGTGGTGATATTCTGTGCCGCGTAACTCGACGAGCCGTCATTTCCTGAATTTTTTGCCTTGGTCGTTGGTGCTGTATAGGTACTTTTTTGGATTTGGTTATTCTGCGGCCGTGTTATATTCATTGTTTGTTCTGTGTTTTCTTGCGCTATCTTTGAAATCTCTCAATGCTGCAACCAAAGTTTTTGGTATCTCAAAGATTTTTGTCGTTCTGGATGGAGATGTTTGCGTTCTCGATGGAGATTAGCGAATGATGGATGGTCATTGCTTTCTTGCGATTTGATTTATTAATGATAATCAAGTTGATAGATGAAACTTTGAATTTTTTTTATTCAGGAAATGATTTATCTGCTTTGGTCTTCGCTCTTACTGACAATAATTGTAAGGCATAAATTGAAAGGGAGCTTATGCTGGAAAGTCATGTTGATTGTTGCAGTTATTCATATGCATTTAGCATGGTAACATTGGATGTTCTTAGTAATTTATTGAGATATGAGACTACCTAAGAGGACAAAGAAATTCGATTGGTCTCCTATTCAATGGAAAAATGATAGCAGATGGACACTTGATGGTGTGAAATTGGAATTATCTGCTCAATTTTGTAGGTCTTATTCGACACAATGAAGTTATCTCTGTGACCTAATTAATGTGTAATCTGTTCATGGCAGGTTTCCAAAATGATAGGATCACTTCTCAACAGAGTACTTGTGTATGTTCCTATGCTTTAATAGTAGTTTTCTAGAAAAAATCCCTTTCTTCACATCCATGCATTGTTCTAATACTCTTACTTCACTTCAGGTTAATTTTTGGTTATGCTTATCCTGCATATGAATGCTATAAATCAGTGGAAATGAACAAGCCTAATATCGAGCAGCTTCGGTTCTGGTGCCAGTATTGGTACTGTGCGCGGTTTTTTTAATTCTCCAAATGATCTGTTTCTAATTTCAGACCTAACTTCATCTTTTATCTTTCAGGATATTAGTAGCTCTTTTGACAGTTGGGGAAAAGATTGGTGATTTTATCGTGGGCTGGTAATTGTTTCTTTATTATAGACCAAAATTTTATTATACTTACCTTTGTAGTTACATCATTGTTGTCTTGAAGGCTTCCAATGTACGGTGAATTCAAACTGGCGTTCTTTATGTATTTGTGGTTCCCTAAAACGAAGGTCTAGCATTTCATCTTCCACTTGTGTGTAAAAGAGTCTTGGCAACACCATTTTTGTTGCAGCTGAATAATTCTGCTGCTAAATTGATTTCAGGGAACAACGTACATCTATAATTCCTTCTTTAGACCGTACATTGCCAAACACGAGACAGAAATTGATCGACAGTTGTTAGAACTGAGGACGAGGGCTGGAGACATGGTTTTCATGTACTGGCAGAAATCTGCAGGCTATTTGCAGACTAGAGTCCTAGAGATTTTGCAGTATATTGTTTCCCAATCGCCCCTCAAACAACCAGTTAAGGTATCTTTGCTACTAACTATTAAAAGAATACTCTGTTTTTAATGCAGTCTGAAAGCAGCAGTAGTGTGGAAAATACGGTATGGTTTGCACTCCATTGTCGATTTGTTTCCTGTATCTTGCCATGCATTAGTTAGTTTGGTGCACGTTAGAGAGCTATGAATAACTGTAGTCCCGCTTGCTTTTGCCTAATTCTCTCTAAATAGATTTCCTCTCCCGACTAACATGCCTACACCTGACCGATAGTTTCTTCTCTCCACCGATGATTTTTTAGTTTCTAACAAACTGCGCTCATTCTATATGCTATATATATTTGATTGAAATGCTGAATTTAGATTAGACATGCTCTTTAGATAATTGACATGCATGTATAAATTTAAAAAGTTGCATAACCAAACTTTTTTTTTTTCGTAAATGTTCATTTGTTGACTTTAGTTATGCAAATATGCTAATTATATATATATAGTTTTTGCATATAATTTTTCCTTACAAGCATGCCCTGCAGCCACAACATGAAGCAGCAGCAGCTACAAGCATCCCGGAATACACAACACCCTCAAAACCGACATCGCCACAGAAACAGATTCAGGACAAACCAATATCTCCTGCATCTTCAACCGATAATAATCGCCAACGAGACACCAACAAAGACGAAGCAGCAGCAAGACCTTCCGGAGACTCATCATCATCAGCCAACTCGACCAACAAACACAAGGAAACGTCAACTCAATCCCTCTCCGAAACCAGTAAAGAGCAGGAATCACAAGCTGACTCGGCACAGTCCGCAGATCAAAGCTCCAATCCTACAACTCTTCGAAACATGCTCATGGAGGAAACCGGGGGGCCATTCACAAGAGCACGATTGAGGAAAGTAACGGCAGCAGCAGCAGCAGCAGCGCCGTAATCCAATCCCACATGGAGTTAAGACGTGAGGAGTATATATATATATATATAGAGTTGTAGTATATGCTGATTGATTGATGTACATTATATCTTCACTTGTGATGAAGGCACCGTATAGTTCCTAGTTTTCGATATATGATGATAAGTAGTAGTAATAACAATAATAGTGTGGTGTTGATAATGTTTCTTTGTGCCCTCTTTTTTTATTTTTTTTATTTTTATGACGTGGGAATCTATAACTGCTACTAGGTAAGTCAAACTTAATACCCTGCAAATTAAATCCGACTGACATTTTTATAGTATTTTGTTTGAGAATTTGACTTGACAGGAGTTTGTTCTTTCGGATTTTTATAGTATTTATTTATTTTTTACTTTTTATGACGTGTTTAGCTTTATATTACGACCGCTGCTACTCTTCACATGCATTATGTATTAAATTAAATCGTAGAGTTAATTGTTTGACGAGATTGATTCACTAAATTCGTATTTTCTAACTTATTCCAGTACATATTAATACTTCTTGCTTATTTTAGTAGTTTATATGTGGTATTGTTTTGAGTAATATATTGTTAATATATATATATATATATATTTATTGATTTATATATTATTAGAGTTTGCTAATTAGTATATATTATTTATTTATTTATTTAATTTTATTATTATTATTTGATTTTAACACATGTTATATTCTTATACTATAATTATAACTATATATATTTTTATTACAAATTGCATAATTATTCGTAATAATCCCAACAATCAATTAATGATATTATTCTAAATATTTATATTTTCTACTCAAATATAAAAATGTTCTCATTATTATATGGATAATTAAAAATATTTTTAAATCGTACAAAAAATTTCTATTTGTACGATCATTCTTTCTCCTTTATTTTTATTTTTTAAAAAATCCAATATTCGACTGCAACACGAAAAATAGAAAATCATTTGATGATATTTTCAGTCAACAATACTTTATTGAAAATATAACAGAAGTGGGAAAGCATTATTAGTTGGGCATGCAATAGTTTAAAATTTCCCGTAATTAATTTTAATAAAACAAAATAAAAATAATCGTCGACAGCAGGGTTCGAACCTGCGCGGGCGAAGCCCAACAGATTTCAAGTCTGTCTCCTTAACCACTCGGACATATCGACAATGTTGAGCTATCTCTTGAAATATTTAGATATGTAACTATATTAGAAAAAGTATTGATTGAAATTGATGATACTTCCTGCGTGGTAAGTTGTACGTTTTTGTGAAACCCTAAGTTTGTATTCGGTTTTATCAGAGATTTTTACGGTTTAAATTCTTTTTTTTTTTTCTAAAAATATCACATCAAACGATTACTTTTCTTACACTTTAAATTCTTTATTAATGAGTTTAAGCCAAATGGAATTCTCCTCTGATGTAGCATTCGACTTCACAGCTTCAGACCCGCTGGAAAAACTTTCTTTCCGAAATATTGTTCTCTAATATAAGAATAAACCATCCATCCCCGCAAGAAGGAATTTAATCGAGGATCATATTGCCAAAATTTCTTGCATCAACAATGACAGACTCTTGCCAACATTTGACATCAATGATTCTTACCTGACGAATCTCAGCAATCCATGGGAGGATGGCGTGGTGATTAAACTCCTAGGCAAACATATATCTTATCTAAATATGAAGGATGGGTTGCAAAGATTTTGGAAGCCGACAGGGTTTCTTGAACTAATGGACATTGATAACGGTTTCTTTATGGCAAAATTTGATCGGGATGAAGATCGCCTTAAGGCGCTACATGGGGGGTCCATGGATGCTATACAATCATTATGTGGTTGTTCGGCAATGGAGTCTTGACTTCTTCTCATCGAATGCCATTATCGACAAAACAAATGTTTGGATTAGATTCCCAAGTTTAAATTTGGCCTTCTATGACGAAAGCGTTCTCATGTGTCTTGCCTCAATTGTAGGCAAGCCAATTAAGGTCGACATGAACACGGTCAACATTGCCCTCTGCCGCTTTGCCCGAGTATGTGTCGAAATCGACCTATCACTCCCTATTATAGGCCAAATTTGTGTTCAAGGTCATTAGCAGAAAGTCGAATACAAAGGACTTCATATTATCTGTCCATGGTGCGGTTTTTATGACCACAACCAAACGCAATGTCTAAAACCAAGATCTGATCCTCACTGCTCAACATACACAACTCAAGCTGGAGCACACGCCACAAGTCACTCTCCAGTTCACAGCTCAGAAGATTGAATGACAATTGAAGGAATCCCGGATAAAGTCCATGGAGATTGGCTTATAGTACAAAGGAAAAAAAGATCCCAAAAAAAATGCAGAATGTGAATATAGTTGCTCATGATCCCATCCCTCAACCATCCAAGGCAAAATCTCTCATCACAAAACCTAAGACCTAGACCATTTATGCCACTGCCAAAGAAGTGGAAAATCTGCAGGCCCCCATTAATCAACATCAAAATTTTCTCTCTAGTGCCATGCAGACTACTCACCCAACTATAAAAATCAAGAAGCGCAGATTTCATCCTACATCCAATTTTAACTTAGACGACTCCCCCCACATGGAGTTGGAAAATAACGAAACATTAGAAACTACAACTTTTAATAGATTTGAAGGTCTAGAGGGCCCTAACAAGCAGGCAACTGACACTACTACTTGTCATCTCGAGAATGATCACATGAAAGAGGATACTCTAAATTTCAATCACCAAAGTCGCCCCCTGACAGCAACTACTGAAACTACCTTATCTTTTTTTCAGCATATCATGGATTGCAACACTTGTAAATTTTTTAATGGAATATTCGTGGGGCTCGGAGTAGACGCACGAGGTGAATTCTTAGGACTTTCATTCAAGACTATCAGCCAGACTGTATGTTTATCCTAGAGCCCCATATCCAATATGATGACATGAAGTACCTCTGGAATAGACTTGGCTATGAAGATATTCTTATCCAATAAGCAAATGGTCATGCTGGACGTCGTCTCAAAACTATTAATTCCAACTTCAACTTTCAGCCCTCACATTCTTCACCTCGAATTATCACTGTGAAGATTTCGAAGGGTAACATATATGGTTCTGCTCGGGCATATACTCCCACCCGGTGCCGTCTGCCAGAGATCGTGATTGAAAACACTTGATTGACTTATCCACAAATATTTGAACTTTCCCATGGATGATATTAGGTGACTTCAATGAAATCTTATCTACCTCCGAACAAATAGGATGCTAGTTTATTTACAGTCGAGCTGAAAAATTCTCCGAAACTTTGGATGAAAGTGGTCTCCATAGCCTCCCTTCAAACGGGCCTTTTTTCACCTGGATTAAAAAGGAATCTAGACATCCGATGAAAGGGAAGAGTCTTGACAAAGTTTGTGCCAACGACTCCTGGCTTCGCCTATTCCAAAATGCAAACATCCAAGTCCTGACTAGGGCTCAATCTGACCATCACCCTCTCCTCATGCAAACCTTAGACGCTCAAACTAAAAACACTCGTAGACCTTTCCGATACATGGATGCTTGGGCTTTGGACAACAGATATAAGACATTTATTTAAAACATTTGGACGAATCCTTCCAGGAATATCCTTGAGGCTCTTACTCTTGCCAACGATAAATCTCTGGAATTCAACAAATCCATATTTGGAAACCTCAAGGACCATATTAGAAGACTGAAAAGAAGAATTTTTGGCATTCAAAGAGAGTTAGCTTTGGACTCATCCCACTCTCTTCTCCAATTGGAATCCAACTTCAGAAAAGAGCTAGATAAGGCTCTTAATCAAGAAGAACTTCTCTGATACCAAAAATCAAGGGTTGACTGGCTAAAACACGGTGATTGAAATACTAAATTTTTCCACGCATCTACTCTCATGCGACGTCGTCATAATAAAATTACTTCCCTAACTCTCCCTACTGGTCAAGTCTGCAACTCCGCTTCTCTACTTGAAAATGAAGCTCTGAGTTACTTTAAAAATATTTTTACCTCCACCGATGCTAACTATACCAACCTGGACTCCCTAGCCCACCTGCCTTCCCTTCAAACCAGTGATATCAGTCTCCTTAGCAAGGAGATCTCTGTCGATGAAATATCAAAGGCCCTGCAATCCATAAACTCATATTCAGCTCCAGGCCCAGACGACTTTCCAGCCATATTCTACAAGCAATATTGGGACATGGTTGGTGATGGTGTTATAAATTTGGTAAAAGACATATTTCAAACCGGTCAAATCCACGATGGACTCGGTGAAACTCTTATTACTCTTATCCCGAAAAATTCTAGCCCTAACTTCTTCTCGGACCTCAGACCTATCAGTCTCTGCAATGTTATCTTCAAAATTGTCCCAAAGATCATCGTGGCCAGACTGAGGCCCATCATATGCGAGTACATATCACCGACCCAAGCTGCTATCCTAAAAGGCAGGAACATAGTGACAATGCCATAGTGCTCCAAGAGGTTATCTAAAGGCTTCATAAGGACAAAGCTAAGGTGGGCTCTATTGTGCACAAAATTGACCTAAATAAAGCTTATGACAATGTGCGATGGCACTTTTTACAGCAATGCCTAGAGGAGATGGAAATCCCTCAACAACTGACAAAGATTATCATGAATAGTGTAACATCTACATCGCTAACTCTTCTTTGGAATTGGAGCAGCCTCCCCACCTTCAAACCTACCAAGGGCTTCAGGCAAGGGGATCCCCTTTCACCCCTGCTTTTTGTTATCTGTATGGAGAAATTGTCCAGAACAATTTCTCAAACTGTTTATGATGGCAGCTGGAAGCCGATCAAGCTCTCCAGGTCCGGAACTGAAATCTCACACCTTTTATTCGCGGATGATATTCTCCTATTTAACAAATCTGAGAGAAATCGGGCTGATATTATAAACCAAATTTTGGATTCTTTTGCTTGTGCCTCAGGCCTGCGTATGAACAACAAAAAATCGCGGGCTATTGCATCTCCATTCACGCCTAGACACATCCAATGTGAATTTCACCAATCCACTGGAATCCAATTCACCCGTGATCTCGGAAAATACCTCAGATTCCCAATGGTGTATGGACGAAAAAAGAAAGACTTATTTGCCCAGATAATGGAACGGATGACTCAAAAGATCAATAATTGGTCATCTATGTTCTTATCAAAATGCGGGAGAATTACCCTAACTCGCTCAATCCTTAACTCTATTCCAGTCCACTTGATGCAAGTTTTCAAACTTCCATCTTCCTTAATTCAGAAAACAAAAAGTTG